AATGGTTGTTCGCCGAGGGGAATGGAGGGAGTTTGGTTAGTTGGTTGAATGGAGAAAATCGCGGCACACGGGCCGAATATCGTCGACTTGAATAAGGGACGCGAGAGCGTGCTGCGGCACGGGGTAGTTTCTGAAAGGCTAGGGTGGAGCCTCTTGCTCGGCTCATTCACCTTTCCACCTACCTCCTACCTTCCTTTCCTCTGCCCGTTTCAGCCCGGTTTTCATCCTTCCGCCTCTGCTCGTATATCCGCGTTCACCGTAACACCCATTGTTAAATGCCGCATTATTCCGCGATAACCCTGAAAAGGTTCGATTTGTCCGTGCTCTGCTCGTCTGCCCAGTCCGACTTGTCCCTTTATCCTTTTCTGTTATCGGATTGCCGGCGTCCACACCGATTTCTCCATTCTTTCGCCTTTCGATTGTTCGAGGCGAGACAGCCCAGCCAGAATCGCGATACTACGTGCACTTTACTTACTCGTGTCGCGCCCCGTTTATCGAGCTTTCCTCGCGGTCGCCCCGAGATACCACGACGAATTCTTTCGGCCGAGAATCGGGAAGCTACAGGTTGGCCCGAATCGAACGACACGTCGACGCCGACCGCGCTGCTGCTCGTTTTATCGCCGCTTTCCACTTTCGATCGAAAAAGACGGAGCAACGCGCGGTCTCACCTACCAACGTAATCGCCGAAAAGATAGAGGGCCGGGAAACTTGTAACGGCCGCGAGAAAGTTAGATTGCTGAAATAGTTGCCTTATCTCTCTGTGTCGTGACGAAGGCTAGCCGTGGGAGAAACCAAGGGATGAAAGAGGGAAGAGGGCGGTTCCGCGGGCGAAAATTCCCAGCTAATTTATGTGCCAATTAATTGCTAATTAAGGCAACGGTTTTTCGGCCGAATTAAATTCTCCGCTTCGGACCTCCTCTCCGATAGCACAAGTTGACTCTTCTCTTCCGGACTTGAAGTCTCCTCTTTCGCTTCGCAGCGTTCCCCCGCGATTAGGGCGGCTACCACGGGCAGCAGCAGCACCAGCACCAGCGGTTCCCTTCGCGCTTTTTCATCCCGGATCAGCTTTTAATCGTGGGTTTCTCCTTCACGCTACGATGGAGAAATGTACGTGGTAGGTAGATACATATACACGGCTATGTAGTACCTACCTCGCGCAGCCTTCGCGGTTCGTCGATGTTTCTTCTCCGCGCGTTTCGTTAATCTTCTCGCCGCCCTCTCCTTCCCGCCCTTTTTATCCATTATCTTCTCCTTCGAGATTTTCAACGTGTACTCCGAACGAGCTCCGACTCGTTATTTCGATCTTACGAGCCACGAGTTTCGACGAAATTAAGCCCGAGCCTGGCTCGGCTCGGTCGCGCGGATAGAAGGTTGATCGAGCGCGGAACCATCGGAAGAATTAATATCGATCGACCCGACCGCGAGCAGCCAAGGAAAAGGGAGGGTGGGTCTCTTTCTTCCAACCGGTGGATCCCACCGATATCCATTTTCACAAGGATACGATGCACAGCTGCCAGATGGTATTTCCTTCTTCCACTCACAATCAGACGGAGAGAATTGCACCATTATCCAATGGAATCTGCCGGTCGTTAGGTGCTCTTGCGTTAAAGGACTTGAATTTCTCTGGCGAGTGCCGCCAACCAATACGCCTAGTCGACTTTGTCCTCCTTCCCGGTGAAATTCGCCGGCGTGGCGTGTCGCCGCATAGTTTAAGGATCGAACGGGAAGAGACGCGAGATGACAAAAGAAGGCGGTCCTTTTGCTTCGAAGAGCGAGGGAGCGAGCGAGTCAATATTGACCGTTCCGCGCCTCCGAGCAGGTTCGTTAGGCGGCAGAGAATTTCTTTCTCTTGTCACGCGGTTGCCGAGGGAATCGCGCGCGTGGTTCGAAACGTTAAACGCTAATTAGGGTCGCGGTGTAATCGCGGTTCAAACGGGGCTCTTTTTTTTTTGTACCGGGATGGGAATGAAGTTGGACGACGACGACGGGCGCGGTCGATTTGAAAAATCCAAAAGTTTCTCGCTCGATTCTCTCTCGGCGAGGGAATATGGCAAAAAGTTAGCAGTCTATCTTGGGAAGCAAGAAGAGAGTTGCGAAACGAGGAGGACAGCCGAAGGAAGATGAAGCCGTGGGGAGAGAGAGGGAGATTGGAACGGTTCGTTAATTAAGCATTCGATTCGGGTTGGAGTATCGACGAGGAAGAGGACGTCCGGGATTATCTTTCATGCCGAGTTTTTCGCCGGTTTAAGGAGCCGAAATGAAGACGAGAGATCCTTTTCCCAAGGATCTTCCCCTTTGGAGCGTAGTCTTGTCCGACTGTCTGGTGAGCCAGTTTTTCGATAACGAACGAATACGAGTGGGAAGCGAACGGTTTTGCGGCCGTTCGTTTCACCTCGTTTACTCGCGACAGCTCCCCCTTTCGTATTCCGTTCGCTCGTTCGGCGAGACCGGCCTGAAAGAATTATTTCGTGGGAATTTCACGAGCGAGAGACACGGCAACAAACTTTTCCCGGTAGATAGTTGGCCCCGTGCAAGGGAACGGGAACCGAAGATGCCACTTAGCTCTCGTGCAAATTTAATTTTCGGCTGCCGCGGGACTCGAAATTAGGCTAATGCTACGACAGAGACTATACCGCCCTTTATGGAGACTGGCAACGTGCTACGGCATCCGACGAAACGACGCACCCGGAAAATTTACTCGGTCGCACCTTTTTTTTCTCTCTCTCATCTTGGTTCGACGCGGTCGATTTCGAAACTTCCAACGTTGCGGCGTTATGACGGCTCTCGCGGAGCCCTGAGACAAACGAGATTTCCGATAACGTCTAGCCATTCTCCTCTTACCGTTGGACAGTTGGGAACTATCAATTACCGGCTATAATTGAAATACGTAAGAAACTTTGGTCGTGCGGGAGGGGAAACGGCCGTGGCGTAACAGAAGGAATTTCATTTTTCTTCCCGTCGACGAGCCAAAGTGTCCTCGCGAACGAGAAAATTAGTATTCCAAGGAGGCCGGGGTCGTTGTCTGATCTGGTCGGTACGAAGCATCGATGCTATCGCGCCTCTGTTCGCGCCTTCTCAAGTTTTACGATCCGAGTCGCGAAAATACCGTCGTACCTTCGACGCGTGGTGGTATTGCGAGGCACGTACCAGCCGTTAGGAAGAAACGCGTGTAATCGAATCGCGTTTCCTACCTAGCTTCTCACGCGTCTCTTTTCACTCGGTTGGTCCGCCACACGGAAGAGAGTGAAACCTTCGGAGGCAACTTGACCAAGGCAACCGATTATCGATCGTTCCGCCGTGTAATTTTAACCGCATTTACCGATGTTACGTTGTTACATTATTGCATCGTTACATGGTTCGCGTAATCGCATTAGCCGAATGCGGCTTTAATACGAGCTCCCGGGCATTTATCGCGGCGATGCGTTCGATAACGAACCGCGTATGGCTAACGTTCTGCCGGATGCCGAAATATTCGAGCGGGCCCATTACGCGGCTGCAGCAACTCCAAGGATCGCGGCGGCAAGGGGAACGAACGCACACCAGCAGCGACTAAATGCCCCGTTTATCCGACAGGTGGAGAGAAATTCGTGCAACTTTTAAACTCTGCCGTTCGCGTAAGTAGGCTCGGTGCGGCGGCAGCAGCAAAAACAAAAACAGCCCCGTGCATCTGGCTGGAAACCGGGAAAAAAGGGAGAGTTCGGTACCCCCCGCGCCTCGGTGATTAATCGCGCGCGACTCCTCGAGGGGGAAAGAATATGCTTGGTTTGCGGCATAACCTAACCTCTGCGATTTAGTTCGCCGCTTACAATTAGTAACCAAGCCCTTGCTTGCGTGCACCGGCCATCCCCCCCCCCCTTCACCTCTCGCCGTGGCCGGCCAATTTCGTATCCGCAACCGACCGACCGCCCTTTGCGTCCAAAAGTTGCTCGCCCCGAGCTTTTAATTAGAGAACTTTCGACCACTCGAGAAGATCGCGTCGCGGTTCGATAAAAATCCATCCGAGGATTATTTCAGGCCTGTTGATTATTTTCCTAGGTACCTTCCTAGGTAGAGAGAGAGAGAGAGAGTATTATCGCACCTGTGGGAAAACGCTCACCTGGCCGAATCAACTTTATAACAAATAAATTGAAATCACCCGCGGATTTGAGAGATTCCAGGGAATATCCGTGATTTACGAGGAACTCCGGCTGGCGCCGGATGGCATCGGCATTGACACGAAATAGCCGGCGATCGAGCTTTTGGAAAAAGTAAAAAGAGGGAAAAATTCCGATGAATTTGGCGGTTCGAACCGCGATGCAAACAGAGAGGAGGAAAGGGGAACGAATTCGGTGAAAGGGATGGAGGAGAGTCGGTTCTTTTCCTTTTTCCCGGGGAGGAAGAATACGAGAAATTGCGAGCAAAAATATCCGCGAGGCGAAGTTGGAATCGAATTAAAAAGCTGGCCAAGCCAATTAAGGCGTTTCGCGAAAGTTTAAGAGATTCTTTCGAGAAAAGGGTAAGCTTTCCAGGTGCGCAGCAACCGCTTTTTTTCCCTATTACGTCGCCTTCCGCCTGGTCGC